AAGTACTAATTAGTACAAAATTGGGTACTAAGTGAAGGGGTAGAGATGGTGGTATTGGAAATGTGTACCATTATTGCACAAAAAGTACTAAATGGTACTAAGTTAGATATTGAGTGAAGCAATAGAGCTGAAGTTCTGAAATTTAATATTGAGATGACTTTGGGTTTTTATGGTTTACATACAAAGACTTTGAAATAGTTATGGACAAAAAAATTAAATGTGGACTAGTATGCATGGTTTCACAAATATCCTCCTAGGTAAACTTCAAAATAAAGGGTTTCGAAGACTTTGTGGTGTAAAAGGTGATCATTTTCCTATTATTCTTTACGAAATAGAAAGACTTAAAAGTCTGAAAATGAAGTGCGATATATGAAGTTTTGATTAAACAATTTTGTCAAACTTAATAATTAATTTTAATACTAAAATGCCTTACACGAACTGATGTAAAGAATCTAAAAACAAAGTTGCACTTTTCGCTAAAAGAGGTAGAAGAATTTTGGGATCCTATCGGTATGGAGTGAGGTTAGTAAAAAGGAGAAGAGTGTTAGATGGCTAGTACCAGATATTGCACTACAATGATCAGTCAATATTTTTTAATTAAGAACTGTATTTGTAAAGAGAGAATAATCCACTTATTTTTATTTCATGGGTCATCTTCGAACTCGATCTATTTTTCAAAAAATATTACATTCTAATATTTCTGTCTACAGTAGTTCAAGTGTTAAAATATATGTACGACCCTACTCTTTCTGATGTTAATTTCCGAATTTCTTCCCATTGAATCGATTTAATGATATATCAAAAATGTTAAAATATCTTAATTTTTCTAAAGAAAGAGCAATTCTGAATCGGTAACATAAAATTGGTATAAAGCATTTAATAAATATTTTTGTGTAAATAACTACTTTTTTGGTCTCTTCAACTATCAGCAAAATTCACAACTCATGTCACACATTAATATTTTTCAATTTATTTAATTCTTCTGTTTTTTTTTTTAAATATTCAATCTTTGTATTGTTTGTTTATTCATTTTTTTTATCAAATTGTCTGTCTCAATTGCCTTTCATTCTATAAACGAAATTTTGTTTTGTGTTTTTTATTATTTTTTCTCAATTTTCTTGTGGTTGACGTTTTATTGAGGTTTTGAGTTGAGTGACTTCTGTGAAAATGTCCTGTGGTTTTTTCTCTGTCTGGTTTATTTTGAATTGCGTTGTTTTAATTTGTGTTGTTTCTTTTAAATGAACAAAAAATTGTTGCAAAAATGCATTGGATTGAAAGCAAAAAGGAATAAAAAACACACACACAAAATTATTTATTATGTTATGAATAAAATTTGTCGTACACTAAAATATATATTTATATACTACATCCAAATGTTAAATACACTCAAACATACATGTCAATTTATGTCGAAATTAACTTTTATTGTAATTACACAAGTCTCAACTGAGAGAAAAACAAAATTTTCTTTTTACATGGAATGATCTGTTTTTTTTTTAAATATACAGTTGTTTTTTATTCTTATTTAATTAACTTTATGTTCTTTAAAGGGAACATAAACAGAAATACGTGTTTCACAAACTAACCACTTTTTTCGGTATTGAAGAAGGCAAACGAATGTTTTCAACACAATATTTGTTGTAAAAATAGAGTCTACTTTCCTTTTTTAATCCTGTTACGACATTTTTAAGGTTTTCAAAAGGAGACCCATCGGGTCTTCAATTGAAGAGGATAATATCTTCAATAGAAATTCATGAGGTCTTCCATAGAAGACCACGAGGTATTTAATGGAGGACCATGATACCCTCAATAGAAGACTCTGAAGACAGTACCAGAAGATCATGTGATATTCGATAGCAATCCATGAGATATTCAATAAAAGGCCATAGAATCTTCAATGGAATGTTCAAAAAAAAGCTATGAAGTTTTGAATTGAAGACGATCAGGTCTTCAATTGATGACGGTCATGCTTTCAACAGAAAGCAATTAGGTGGTCATAAGAAGATCCTGCGGACTTCTATAGAAAACCTTAAAGTCTTTAGATTACCACGTAGTGTTCAATGGAAGACAACCGTGCCTTCGATAGACCACTACTAGGTCTATAATGGAAGCCCACATCAGTAGCAGAAGATCATGTGATATTCGATAGCAATCCATGAGATATTCAATAAAAGGCCATAGAATCTTCAATGGAATCTTCAAAAAAAGCTATGATGTTTTGAATTGAAGACAATCAGGTCTTCAATTGAAGACGGTAATGCCTTCACCAGAAAGCAATTAGGTGGTCATTAGAAGATCCTGGGGTCTTCTATAGAAAACCTTAACGTCTTTAGATTACCACGTAGTCTTCAATGGAAGACCACCGTGCCTTTAATAGAATACCATTAGGTCTATAATGGAAGCCCACCAGCTGTTCTATAGAATGTCATCAGGACTTTAATAGAAGACCATGAGGTCTTTAGTGAATGACCATGATGTTTTCAATAGAATACAATGGGGTCTTGAAGACCCTAAGGTCATTAATAGATGACCATCAGGTCTCCAAGAGAAGACCATCAGGTCTTCAAGAGAAGTCCATCAAGTCTTCAAGATAAAACCATCAGGTCTTTAAGAGAAGACCATAAGGTATTCAATAGACCAGGCCTTCAATTGAAGAACAACAAAAGAAGACGATAGGGGTTTCAATAGATGATGATGCGGCTCTCAATAGAAGGCCAGGAAATTTGAAGACGGTCTTTTGCATAAAGATTAGTTGAAGAAGGTTTTTTGTCTAGAGAAGACCTGCAGAAGGTCCATAGGAGACTTGTAGAATGTCTTCTGTCCATAGGAGACTTGTTGAAAGCATTCTTTCAATAGAAAACCTTCAGAGCTTTTTGTCTATAGAAGACCTAAAGAAAGTCTTCTGGCTATAGAAGACCTGCAGATAGTCTCCTGTCTATAGAAGACCGGCGGAAGGTCTTCTGGCTATAGAACACCTGTAGAAAGTATTCTGGTAATAGAAGGTCTTCTGGTTATAGAAGACCTGTAGAAGCTCCTCTGGCTATGGAAGACTTGTAGAAGGACTTCTAGCCATAGAAGGTCTTCTGGCTATGTAAAAACTGTGGAAGGTCATCTGGCTATAGAAAAACTGTGGAAGGTCTTCTGTCGATAAAAGACCTTTAGAAGGTCTATAGAAGACCTGTAGAAGCTCCCCTGGCTATGGAAGGCCTTTAGAAGCTCCCCCGGCTATGGAAGGCCTTTAGAAGGTCTTCTGGCTATAGAAGACCGGTAAAAAGTTTTCTGGCTATAGAAAACCTGTGGAAAGTCTTCTGGCTATAGAAGACCTGTGGAAGGTCTTCTGTCGATAGAAGACATGTGGAAAGTCTTCTGGCTATAGAAGACCTGTGGAAGGTCTTCTGCCGATAGAAGACATGTGGAAGGTCTTCTGGCTATATTAGACCTGTAGAAGTTCTTCTGGCTATAGAACCCCTGCAGAAGGTCTTCTGGCTATAGAAGACTTGTCGAAGGACTTCTAGCTATGAAAGACCTGTAGTAGTTCTTTTGTTCACAGAAGACTTGTAGAAGTTATTTTGGCAATATAAGATTTGTATAAGATTTTCCGTCTATAGAAGAACTGCAGAAGTTCTTCTGTCCACAGAAGACTTGTAGCAGGTCTTCTGTCCACAGAAGACTTGTAGAATGTCCTCTGTCCACAGAAGACTTGTAGAAGCCATTCTGTCTAGAGAACACCTGTAAGTCTTCTGTCTATAGAGAACCTTTAAAAAGTCTCCTGTCTCTGGAAGATCTGCGGAAGATGTACTGTCTATATAAGAGCTGGAAAACATCGTATATCTATTGAAGATCTGAAGAAGATGTTTTGTCAATAGAAAACCTTCAAATGTTCTTTCTTTCATTTAGGGAGGACCTTTTTCTTTATTTATTTAGGATATTTTACTTTAGAAGGTTTCTGGCTATAGAAGACTTGCAGAAGCTCCTCTGGCTATAGAAGGCCTGTCGAAGCTCTTCTGGCTATAGAAGACATCTAGAAGATCCTCTGTCCACAGAAGCTCTTTCATTTATGGATTTATGACCTTCTTATTGTCCCCTTCATTTAGGTTACTAAGCGATATTTGCAAATCTAACAACCTTTTAACCCAAAATCAGCTCACCACTTTACCTTGCCAAGCAAACCTGTATTTCAGCCAATATAACGGTATCTTATTCAAATACCTTGGTATATTAAATACATATTCCCCCAACAAATACCTCTCATTTTCAATTGAAACATTATTAAAATCTCTTTAAGAATTCACATTTATTTAAATAAATTCCCGAGAAGGCAAAGTGTTGTGCATATTTGATCATATTTGATGGCAATTTCATTTTCATATCATCGCCCCCCCCCCCCCCCCCCCCCCAAATTTTGAATTTCATCAGAATTTGTATCTGAAACGTTCACATTTTATTGGCTTATATTAAATATGTATGTACGTATGTGTAAGTTATCAACAGCCAGACATAGCAATGTTATTAAATTTCATAGCGAAAAAAAGGGTTTTCACAAATTCCTCGACCGGACTACAATTTTCATTTGCATATCCAATGCTGAATGAATGAATTTTAAAATTCATAGGAATTATTTAAACTCGACAAAATATTTCATCATAAATTTATGAAAACAACAACTTTGTTGCTATATCATGTTCTCCATCTTCTCTTTGTTTTCTATGAATAAAATAATGTGTCTGCCCTGCCTAAGTGTGAAACATGTATTTCTGTTTATTTAAAGTTTTCTTTTCATTTTTATTTTCCGTACTTTTATGTGGGCGTTGAGAAGTCGTCCCATTTGTATTTTATCTTACCTAAAAGCACATTTTCGCACATGATAATATTTTATTGTCAAAAGTTGTAACTTTTTTGTATTTCTAAAACGCACACCACCACACATACACACACCCACACACACACGAGCAACAAACTCTCACGTGCAATTTTCCAAGACTTTTATTAATCTTCCAAAGAAATCTCCTTTATTATCATCCAACAAACAGGGTGGATCGATGCCGAACACCTCGAGCAGTGTACCGTTCTTATTGTCATCGAGCATGCAATCGATACGTTCCAGGCGTACCTCAGCAGCACTGTCGTCCGGCCCGCTGGGCTCCGGTTCGGGCCTGCTGCAACAGTTGGGCAGTGGCATGGTAAGACAATTCACTTCCGTATCCGCTACACCAAATCAAATGATACCCGTTATAAATATTAATAATCAGCGACAGAATGTCCGAAAGTGTCCGTCACTCAATATAACATTTAGTCAGTAGTAGTAGTAGAAGTAATGAGCCAATGAGAGAGCAGGAAGAAAGAGCATATTATAAAAAAAACATAACACAGAATGATGAAAAGAAAAAAATACAACAAATTAGTTAGGAAATAAAATTCGAAGACAAAAAAGAAACAGATTCACTGGCAAACAAAGTGGAAGAATCGAGTGGTCAAAGGAATTTTAAGCACTTAACTTTTAATTAGCTATGCTCGGCAGAACGGAAATTGGGAACAACAATTACACTATGTAGCATAATTTTTAGATCATTAAATACATTTTCGGGTAAATAATGCTTAATACCATCCAAAGGTCTCATCTGACCATAGACGACCTTAGATGTTGTTTTAATCAATAAAAGACAAATACTTTCAAGAAAAGCAAGTATGCATTTATAAGAGGTCTACAACTTGGTCCTTCAAAGATATTCTCTACATAGAAGACCTTCAAGAAGGCATTTCATCTAGCGACAGCTGCGACAGACCTTATCTCTATGGAAGACCATCAGAAAGTTTTTTCGTATATACAAGACCTCTAGAAGCTCTTCTGTTATAAACAAAGTTATAACAGAAGTTATATAGCAGACCTGAGAGGGGTTTCTTCCTGTAGAAGACCTGTGGAATGTCTTCTGTCTATAGAAGACCTGTAAAAGGTCTATCGTCTATAGAAGACCCGAAAAAGGTCCTCTGTTCATAGAAGGCCTGTAGAAGGTCTTCTATCCGTAGAAGATCTGTTAAAGGTCATATGTCCGCAGGTCATATTCTGTCTATTGCAGACCTGTAGGAAATCCTCTGTCCACAGCAAACCTATAGAATGTCATCTGCCCATAGAAGTCCTGTGGAAGGTATTCTGTTTTAGAAGAAATGTAAAAGGTATTCTATTATAGAAGACCTGTGGAAGGTCTTCTATCTGAAGAAGACCTATAGGGAGTCTCCAGTCTGAAGAAGATCTATGTGTGGTCTGTCGATAGAAGACCTGTAGTAAGTCTCCTGTCCACAGAAGACATGTAGATGGTCTTCTGTCTATTGGACATGAAAGACCTGTAAAAGGTGTTTTATTCAGAGAAGGCCTGTGGAAGGTGTTATATTCATAGAAGACCTGTGGAAGGTCTTATGTCTAAAGAAGGCCTGTGGAAGGTATTCTGTCTAAAAAATATCTGTAGGATGTATTTTGTTTATAAAAGACCTCTAGAAGGTCCTTGGTCTATAGGAGACCTTTAGAAGGTCTTTTATCTATAGAGTAGCTAAATAAGGTGTTCTGTCTATAGAAAACTTGTGGAAGGTTTCTGTCTATAGAATACCTATAGAAGATCATTTGTCTATAGAACACCTGTAGGAGTTCTTCTGTCCATAGAAGACCTGTAGAAGGTCTTCTGCGTATAGAAGAAGATTTTCTGTTAAAAAAAATGTAGGGGCCTGCAGAAGGCCCTCTGTCTATAGAAGACCTCCAAAAGTTCTACGGACTATAAAAGACCTGTGAAAAGTATTCTGTCTACAGAAGACCTGTAGAAGGTCCTCGGTCTATAGAAGACCTACAGAAGGTTTTCGGTCTATAGAAGACCTACAGAAGGTTTTCGGTCTATAGAAGACCTACAGAAGGTTTTCGGTCTATAGAAGACCTGCAGAAGGTCTTCGGTCTATAGAAGACCTACAGAAGGTTTTCGGTCTATGGAAGACCTGCAGAAGGTCTTCGGTCTATAGAAGACCTGCAGACCCGTAGAAGTTCTCCTGTCTATAGGACACCTTCTGTCTGTAGAATATCTGTGAAAGGTTTTCTGCCTATAGAGGACCTGTAGGAGGCAGAAGGTCTTCTGCAAACCCGTAGAAGTTCTCCTATCTATAGGACACCTTCTGTCTGTAGAATATCTGTGGAAGGTTTTCTTTCTAAAGAAGACTTGTAGGAGGTCTTCCACCTGGAGTTGTTGTAGAAGACCTATAGAGGATTTTCTTTCTATAATATGCTTGTAGAAGGTCTTATGTCTGCACAAGAACTTTCGAAGTATATTCTTTCTAAAGAACACCTTTTGAAGCTGTTCTGTCTACGGAATGTCTTTTGTGACCTTTCTTATTTCAAGATATGTTGAAAATCTTCTGTTCTTAGAAGACGTTTTAAATATTTTCTGACACCAGAGCACTTCTTGAGGCCTTTCTTAGCATACACACAGACCTGTTAGAGAGTTTCTATTGATGAAGATCCTGTTGAAGATATTTTCACCCCAAAAGGTTAAAAAATGGTATTTTATTCAAGAAGAATTTCTGCGGAACTATCATACCCAGAAGACCTATTAAAGTTCCACTGTTTATAGAAGTCCTTTGAAGATTGAAGAAGGACTTCTGTCCGTATATAACTTATTGAAGGTATTCGATTCATAGAAAAAATTACCTTCTACCATTAGAAGGACCTTCAAAGGCCTTTTATACAAAAAATACTTTTTACGTCTACCGTTTTTCCTCCCTTGAAGTTCTGGATTTTGTGGCATAGTGTATACATTCAGTTGTCCCAATTAAATGTCCTCCAGACTCCGTAGATCATGGTTATTTGCTTAAAGATTCTAATGACAACATTGATTAAGTAAAAAAAAACCCGAAACCCAATGAAAGTAAGTATTAAACTGTGAACGAAACATAATATGGTTGTTAAAGTACTTTAAAAACAAAACACATAAACTGGATTTGAACAAAATAAATAAAAAGAGGTAAAGAAAAACAACAACAAGAAAAATCTTTAAAAAAAAATACAAACAAAAATTGTTGATTTTTAAAAAAAAAAAAAATAATCTTTTGACTAAAAATAATAATTATAATATTTACATAACAAAAAATACTAACAGCAAACAAGAAAAGGTATTTAAAAGACATAATAATAGTGTTTTTTTTAATTTAATTATATAACAAGTTAATAAATATTTCAAGAATTTTAAAAATTAACTTTTCTAACAAAAAAAAACACAATTATGAATGCAAACAAAAAAGGTATTTAAATACAATTAAATAATATTGGTTTTGTTAACTAACATTAATTAATTAAATATTTAATATTTTTTGTTCTAAATTTACTCTTGTATAAACAACAATGAATTTTGATTTACATGAATGAAATATTTACCCCATAGAATGCATGACAGTTGATAGCTAGAGGGGGCTGAGAGTAATGCATTATACATAAGCAAACATTAGCTTTGAGTGTTGGCTTTTCATAATTGATTTTTATTTATTTTGTGTTTCGTTGATTTGTTTAAATAAGTAATGGTGTTTTTTTTTTATTTGTTAAAATATTATGGCAATAATAATTGTCATTGCCGGCTAGGGAAAATATATTACCCTATGATTAAATTAGGCATACTTAAAAAGACATAAGGAAATTATAATTTCAAATATCACTCAATTTGTTTGGTAACTGTCATCTTTTAAAATCTGAAAGTCTCTTAGAAAATTTTTGAAAACAAAACGCAGAAAGTCTTGGATTTTTTTTCTGAAACAACCTTAAGAGGAGTTTCCTAAAAAAACCGTCCATGATAGCAACTTTAACACGTTTTAAATGGGTAGAAGATTTTTAGCAGCTATTATTTATTTATAAAATACAAAGGCCTTCAGCAATTAATTAAAAACAAGCAAAAAAAGCAGCCGGTCCGAACTTTGAGTTCCCTCCCCCATTTGGAACGAATTTGTAAATTCTCAAAAAACCAATAAAATCCGTTAAGAATTCTTTTAAAATCTTAACAACGTTGGACCTACATAGGCCTTGTTTGTCATAAGCCATTATCATATTCAAATTCGAAACTTGAAACAAACGGTAGCTAAAATCATCAAAATATAGTATATAGGGAGGTACCGTTATATCTGAGCTGTGCGAAGACCTGGACCAGCATAGGCAATTTTCTGCCACAGGCTATTGCATCCATTACGAATGTCAAATACGACATCTCAAAAAATGTCGGTGGGTATTGTACCTACCGAATATTGGGAGGTACTGATATATGGGACCTATACGAAGACCTGTACCTGCATAGAAAATTTTCTGTCATAGGCTGTAGTAACCATTACGAAATTCAAATACAAAATTTGAAACAATTCCGGTGAATAATCTCGCTAAAATCATCAAAATACCGAATATCGGGAGGTACCGTTATATACGGGGCTATACGAAGACCTGTACCTGCATAGAAAATTTTCTGTCATAGACTGTAGTATCCATTACGAACTTCAAATACCAAATTTGAAACAATGCCGGTGAATAATGTCCCTAAAATCATCAAAATACCGAATATCGGGAGGTACTTATATATGGGGGCAATATGAAAACGTGGACCTACATTTACGAACTTAACCTGCCTACTGGAAAAATAAGCACGTGTGCAAAATTTCAGCCTTCTATATCAATTTGTTCGAAAGATAGCGTGATTACAACAGACAGACATACGGACATGGCTAAATCTACTTAGAATTTTACGCTGATCAAGAATATATATACTTTGTTGGGTCTGACATGAGTATTTCGAGGAGTTACAAACGGAATGACAAAGTTAATATACCCTCCATAGTATGGTGGAGGGTATAAAAATATTGAATATAGCCGTTTTTTTGGAGTCTATACGAAGACGTGGACCTGCATAGGCAACTTTTGTCCGAAGCCATTACAATATTCAAATACGAAATTTGAAAACTAATCAGGTGAATAATGTAGCTGAAATCATTAAAATACCGAATATAGAGAGGTGATGATATACGGGGCCTATACGAAGACCTTGACCTGCATAGACAATTTTCTGTCATAGACTGTAGTCCCATTACGAACTCTAAATAAGAAATTTGAAACAACTCCGGTGAATAATGTCCCTAAAATCGTCAAAATATCAAATACCGGGAGGTATCGTAGACCTATGTACACATTTATCTTTCAGGGAGTAAAGTGCTTATAAAGAACTTCTAGTATGGAATTTTAAACAATTCCATTGAAAAATATAGGTAAAAGCTTCAAAATACCGAATATTGGGAGGTACAG